ATGTTAGGGAATATTTTTGGATGAAAACAATGTGAATGTGGAATTTTATTAGTTATGAGCAAGGATAAGTGTTTACTTTGTTGCGATAAATGTTCATATGATGTGTAAATTTATGATATTTAGAGTTGGGTATGAATTAAATGTTAGGAACACATTCCATATTGAAACCCTTTAATAACGGTTAAGGTATAACCGCTATTAAATGTTTCAATAACGGTTATGTATTAACCCTTATTAAATGTGCCGGACTTTTAACATGTGCTGCAACAATATCGGCGTATAACCGTTATTGAAAGCTCATTTGAACCGTTATTAAAAAAGATTCCATAACGGTTCCCGAACCCATATTAAAAGTGCCAGACTTTTAATAGGTGCTGGAACAATAACGGTTCTGAACCGTTATTAAAAGTCCGTTATAACCGTTATTAAATCCATATTTTCCACTAGTGTACTAAATCAAGTTCATAGAAAGCATGAACTCAATATGTGTAGGATCAAACAACATTCAACGAATACAAATATAGATACTTCATCCGTCCCAAAATGATAGTCCTGTATTTCCTTTTTGGGATGTCCCAAAATGATGGTCATGTTTCCCCTTTTAGAAATAAAGATGTGGTTCATATCATTTCACTTTATTATACTCAAATTTCAACCACAATTTTTACCTTTTCAACCACTTTATTAAAACTTGTGCCCAAAAGAAATGAGACTATCAAATTGGGATGGATGGAGTAGTTTTTTGGATAAAGACCGCTTTTGTACCTGGAAGAAATGTCGCACTTTGACGCTTTTCTGACCAAGAAAACCTATGAATAAAAAACATGCAAACACAGATGTGTTTTATTGTGAGGAAATCCAACCACAGTATAATAAGTAGGGAATGTGAAAATATATTTAAAAATGGATCATGGGGAAAGGAAAGCTCACAATGTTCCTGCTCCTGCTGGACCTAAAGCTTTGAAGATTGACATCCCAGTCATCGCAATGCCATTTGCTAATCCTCTTTGATCTTGATCCTATCACCCATTATTATGATTAAATAGGTTAAATCATGTGACTATCAGTTAATGAAACGTGCCCGGTCCAGAAATTTAAACTCGAGTTGGCCTCGATTCGGTAAGAATGGTACGTGTTCGAGTATGGACTCGGAAAGCTTTACATATGTAGTATATGATTTGATCGATAAATGTTGAATTTTTTAGTCTAGCATTGTGCAAGTTTGATAAGAAATCGATCGATTATAGGATTCGAGTGTATGCTCGTTGATTTACTTGTTTTCGAGCTGAATCTAAAACGACTAAGCTCGATACAACCCAAAAAAGTATTTGAACTTCTAGCCCGGTTCATATTAGAGTTTGAGGGTCGGTTTGTCCGATTTGAAATCGAGATCGAACTCGAATAGTTCAAAAAATTGGGTTGTTTAACCAACATGATAGAGGAAGATCAGAAAGAACACTGTGTACTACACATGATGGTTGGGCAATTTACATATTATACAAGTAAGCGTATTAAAAAGAGAAAAGTTATATCACCACTGCACTATTCTGTAGAATGAAGAGTCCGGTTACAATTGTTACCTGTAATAACATAAAAAAAGGTTGGAATGGTCAATAAAAATCCGAATTAAAATAATTCCATTTTCTTCCTCTTTTGCAATTACGTAGAATACAAATTCCAACTTAATCTTGCTAATATATATGAACTTTATTCAATTCAACATACTAACAAATAAGACATTCCAAAGGTTTCACATAATTATATACAATGCAAATTAAGGACATTCAATTACTTACAATAACTTACTAATAAAATGTTCATCAAGAGGGATGCACAATTTAACACAATCTTGAGGTTTATCCCAGATAAACTTGCAATGTAAGGGTAACTCGCTAGCACGGGAATCACCACAATCTGTAAGTATTAATCTTAAATTAGAAAGTATATTTTAAAAGAATTTTGGCTCTACAATTGATATTAGTTATATATTATTGGTCTTACGTACACTACAAAAAAATTCCCCTGTAGTCACGGACCGTAGTCACGGATTTGGTCCGTGACTAGTTAGTCACGGTTCTAATCACGGTGTAGTCACGGAATCGTTTAAAAAAAAGTAGTCACGGATTTGTCCGTGACTACGTCCGTGACTAGAGGTAGTGACGGACCTAGTCCGTGACTAAAGTGTTCCGGCCAACCCATTTTCGCCTCCGGCGGGATTTTTTTTAAATTTGAAATTAGTCACGGACAAATCCGTGACTAAATCCGTGACAAGTGCAAAATTGATTTTTTCAACGCTCCAAATTTAAAGTGCACCGACAATTCGTACAAAAACAAGTAGTCACGTGACACATCCGTGACTACGTCCGTAGACATTTATCTCCAACCCCTTATCGAGGAGATGAAAGAACTTTGGGCCATTGGGACACCAACATATGATGTTTCAAGGGATCAAAATTTCATAATGAAAGCTGCCATCATTTGGACCATTAGCGACTTCCCTGCCTATGGCATGCTTTCGGGATGGAGCACACATGGTCTTATGGGATGTCCGATATGCATGGAGAAATCAGGTGCCAATTGGCTAGCTTTCAGTAAAAAACCAAGCTACTTTGATTGTCACCGCAAGTTTCTCCCGGAAAACCACCGATATCGAAGGGACAAAAAGTCTTTTATTAGAGGTAGAGTGGTAAAAGACACCCCGCCCCCGAGATTGACCGGGGAAGCAATTTTTAACCGGGTTCGACGTATTCCTACGGTTATGCAAGAACCAAATAAGAAGCCATATGGATTTTGTGATACCCATAAATGGACAAAGAGGAGTATCTTTTGGGAGTTACCATATTGGAAAGACCTTCTCATTCGTCACAATATAGATGTCATGCACACTGAGAAGAACGTGTTTGACAATATATTTAACACAGTGATGGATTTCAAAGGTAAAACTAAAGACGGTCTTGCATCTCGAAAAGATATGACTATTTGGTGTGATAGGCCTGAACTGTCTATTGATCTAGAATATCAGGGCAACAATATTCCAAAAGCTGTCTACCAAGTCACACAAGCACAAAAAGAATCAATATTACAATGGCTTGTGTCTCTGAAGTTTCCAGATGGCTACTGCTCCAACTTGTCCAGATGCGTGGACATGGACAAACTTGCAACGACGTCGAGCATGAAAACTCACGATTGTCATGTAATCATGCAAAGACTTCTCCCAATTGCACTGAAAGAGATGCTTCCTGAACACGTATGATCCTGCATTACTGAGATCAGTTTGTTGTTTCAGTCGATATGCTCAAGCGTTTTGGATGCAGCATCCCTCCGTAGACTAGAAGAGTCTGTTCCCATGCTGATGTGTAATTTGGAAAAGATAATGCCTCCGTCGTTTTTCGATGGAATGGAACATCTTGTAATACATCTTCCGTATGAGGCTTTAAATGGTGGACCCGTCTTCTATCGCTGGATGTACAGATTTGAAAGGTTAGTCACAATTTCATTTATCTTTGAATATTTATTTCATAACAACATTAATCTGTGTACCACTTTTATTTTACTTTGCAGATTTCTTGGAGAGTTGAAAAAGAAAGTGACCAACAAGGCACACGTTGAGGCTTCAATTTGTCAAGCATATCTTCAACAAGAAATCTCAACGTTCTCATCCTTTTATTTTGAGCGTGAAGTCATCACTAGAAGAAAGAGACCTGCCCGAAACGATGACATCGGCGAGGATTTGTATGAAAATGTAGTTTCCATTTTCAATTACCCAGGTAGAGGTAAAGGAGCTTGGACAAACCGATACATCGTGGGAAAAGAATTACAAATTGCGCATACTTATATGCTCATTAATTGTCCAGAAATCTTACCGTTTTATCAGTAAGTTAAATTTGTAGTTATCTTTGTAATATATATACAATTAAGGTAGTTGATTTATAATATTTTCATGTTTGACTTCACAGTGAATTTAGAGTGGAGTACTCAGCATTCCCTGACAATGAAATTGATGCATTGGTGGACTCTCATTTTATACCGTGGTACAAGCATCAGGTATATATACATACACACACATTAATTATATATATTATTAATTAATAATATTTAATAATTACCCAATGTTATCGTGTTTTAATTTACAGATCAATAACCGTGGGATTGTGGACCCTTTGTTAGTATCATTATCGTGGGGCCCTGGTGCCTACGCCAAAGTTTGGCGGTCATATGTGATAAACGGTTACACCTATCACACAGTCGCTTACGGACAGGGCCGACCTACAGTGAACAGCGGGTTATGTGTCCCAAGAATCGGTTATGATAACTCGGAAACCAATTTTTTTGGTGTCTTGCACGAGATTCTCGAACTGGAAATGCCTTCTGCTGGGAAAAAGTTGACATGCGTTTTGTTCCGCTGCAAATGGATTGATCCAACACGTGGTGTGCGAAAAAATTCAAAGTATAATATGATTGACGTCAACCACTCTCGCGTGTATACGAAAAATGAACCTTTTATACTTGCTCAACAAGCAGCCCAGATTTATTATACAGAATATCCTTCAACCAGGCGAACACAGAATCCTTGGGTGTGTGCATGTACTGTCCGTCCGAGCAAAATTGTATCACAAACTCAACACAAGGACGTTGATTTAGATGCTTTTCAGCAACATTTTTTCCAACCTCCACCGATTGTTGAGATGGTCAACCAGCACATTCAGCTAAGTGATCCAAATGGGGGAAGTGTTGAAGTCATGCCAGAAACGCACCTTCCAGACCTAACAATTCCATCTGAGCGCGAAATTGTTGAAATGCATGAAGAACAACAAAATGCTTATTATCAGGAAGAAGGAGAATGGATAGACGGTTCTGCTACAGAAGAAGATGTTGTATATGTAGAAAATAATGACTCTAATAGTGACTAATTGTATTGTTGTATTACAATTTTTTTGATTTCGAATATTTGTACTCTTTTCTTCATTATTATTGTAGTCCAACAATATTTGATTTTTTTCTTCATCATTATTACTCCGTAAAAGATAAGTACGAAACGCACAATTTTTTTATCACAATCAACTAACGAAACATTAATCATTTATTTATCATAATAACCAAACAAACAAATACAAAATTATTCATCAATATCAAAACTTTCAAGAGGCCTAGCCAACAGCTCGTGAATTTTCCTTTCAGCTTCTTCGTTGATCGGATACATATACTCCGAACATTCTTCTGCACGTTGAAGCATCCGACACAAGTTGTTTGCTTTTGACTTGCCGAGTGAGTCGGATTCCTCATCTTTATAGTCGCCAAAACTTTCAAGGGTTCTAGCCATCAACTCCGTGATTCTCTGGTATGCTTCAAAGGATTTCGACTCCATAAGCTGTGTAATTAACTTGAGTCGTTTCATAGTTCTGCACATTGAATCCCAGTCAATTGGTTCTCGATTAGCCATTTTTTTCACAAACATTGGACCGGGAATCATCTATTTATACTCAAAACTCGAATATAATAAAGTGGAATTTATTCCACCGGCGTCTCACTCCGGGCTGCGCGTGTTGAACGAATGGAAAGTAATTAGTCACGGACCGTCCGTGACTAGATCCGTGAATAAATCAAAAATCGTACAGGTCCGTGACTAGGTCCGTGACTAATTCAAAAAAAATTGAATTGGTCACGGACCTAGTCACGGAAGGTCCGTGACTAAGGCGGTCAAAGGCGGCCCTGACACCTCGTCTGCCGCGCGTCTGACTTCGTAATTTACGACGGCTAGTCACGGAATATCCGTGACTAGGTCCGTGACTACGCCTTCATATAAAATCGACACTTGGCTGATTTTTCATTCCGCATTCCTTTCAGGCCAAAACCCTAAATCCTTCTTATCTCCCTCTACACTCCACCGATCTCAACTCGAACTCTGCCTTCAACCGTTCGCTTCCGCCGTCCGATGCCGCCGTTCGCTGCCGCCTTTCGCCGCCGCCGTTAGCCGCCACCGTCTGCTGCCACTGTCGGCCGCCTCCTTCTTTTTTCATAAAGGTTATGTATTCTAAATTTGATTTACCTTTATTTCTTATTTGTAGTATTTGATTTTTATTTTAAAAATGCATGTTACGGTAAGTGTGTTCCCATTATTCTCAAATTGTTTAATATGATTTGGTTAATATGCTCAAATTGATTTATGTATGTGTAATTTGATTTTAGTTAGTATCTCAAATTGATGCATGTGGAGTAATATGATTTCGAAATATAATTTCATTTAGTTTATAATATTGCTTTAATTTTAGAATTGAAATATAATTTAGTTTTCTAAATACTTGTTTTCGGTATGCATGTTATCAATTAATATGAGAAACACACGTTTTTTTGAAATACATGTTTAGCACACGTTTTTCGAAATACATGTTAATATGTTCAGTTTATTACGTGTTCTATATGCTCAAGATAACATGATTTAGTTTGTATATATGTTTAATTGGCATGCCTTTATTTGTTGTGTACAAGTTTTATTACATGTTCTATATGCTCAATATAATTGGCATGATTCAGTTTATTACATGTTCTATATGCTCAATATAATTGGCATGATTCAGTTTATTACATGTTCTATATGCTCAATATAACATGATTTAGTTTGTATATATGATTAATTGGCATGCTTATATTGGTTGTATATAAGTTTAATTAATATGTATGCCTACATAAAATTTCATTATAAGTTAAACATGCATGATTAAATAATATCTTTTTTAATTTCGGACTTATGAATTAAAGAACATGAGTTAGTTTAATTAATATGTATGCCTCTTTACATTATATTCCCAAATAATTAAAGAAATACCCCCTCGTGTTAAACCTCCAAAAACGTTTAACATGTTAATTATTAAATATTAAGTTAGACATGAAAAAACACCCCCTCATGTCAAACTTCCAATAAAGTTTAACATGTCAATAATTATCAAAATAATAAGTTAGACATTAAAAAATAGTTTTCTCAAATTTAATATAAAATATACACTATGAAAAAACAGTGTTTATTAAATAAATCGTTTTCATTAAAAAGTTTTCCCAAAGTAATTAAAAAAAATACCCCCTCATGTCAAACTTCCAAAAAAGTTTAACATGTTAATAATTATCAAATAATAAGTTAGACATTAAAAAATAGTTTTCTCAAATTTAATATAAAATATACACTATGAAAAAACACTGTTTAATAAATAAAACCTTTTTAAATAAAAAGTTTCCCGAAGTAATTAAACAAAATACCCCCTCATGTCAAACTTCCAAAAAAGTTTAACATGTTAATAATTATAAAATGTTGAGGTAGACATAAAAAACAGTTCTTAAAAAACTGTTTTATAAAAAATAATAAACTGTTTTATAAAAAACTGATTTCTAAAAAATTGTTTTAAAAAAAACTGTTATAAAAAACTGTTTTATAAAAAACTGTTTTATAAAAAACTGTTAGAAAAAATTGTTTTATAAAAAACTGTTTTATAAAAAACTGTTTTATAAAAAACTGTTTTATAAAAAACTGTTTTATAAAAAACTGTTTTATAAAAAACTGTTTTATAAAAAACTGTTTTATAAAAAACTGTTTTATAAAAAACTGTTTTATAAAAAACTGTTTTATAAAAAACTGTTTTATAAAAAACTGTTTTATAAAAAACTGTTTTATAAAAAACTGTTTTATAAAAAACTGTTTTATAAAAAACTGTTTTATAAAAAACTGTTTTATAAAAAACTGTTTTATAAAAAACTGTTTTATAAAAAACTGTTTTATAAAAAACTGTTTTATAAAAAACTGTTTTATAAAAAACTGTTTTATAAAAAACTGTTTTATAAAAAACTGTTTTATAAAAAACTGTTTTATAAAAAACTGTTTTATAAAAAACTGCCTTTAAAAAACTGCCTTTAAAAAACTGCCTTTATTAAAATCAAAATTTGATCTTCTATTATATTTACACAATTATTTGAAAATGTAAATTAATACTCCTCATTAATCAATTATTTTAGATGAGCAATGAACAATCCACATCCCGTGCTCGCCCGAACTATGCGCCCTTAACCCAAACCGAGCGCAACAATGAAGATTCCGAATGGGTGACACCTCACTTGGTTGCTAAGTAAGTAACTATGAATTTTATCTAATTTCAAATAATTAAATAGTTTTTTTAATGAACTATAAAAAAATATTAATTTTTTGAAGCGATCAAGATGTGCTCAACCAAATCAAAATCATAATTGGTGGACACTTTCTTGGCAACTGGGCGACGTACACGGATGTTGATCCTAAGGTCCGTGAACTTTGGTGGAACTTGTTCAAGGTAAAAAAATCAATTTTTCGTCATTGATGTAACATAAAATTTGACAAATGAGAAGTTAATTTATTTTTTTAATAAAGGCCCGGTTTCGCTGGACTGAAGAACAAGGCCCCGCTATTCTAAGGGCGTACAATGCCAGAGTTTCAAACTGGCTTCGCCCCACTTTTAGGCGTGCCCGAGCCAGTGGGGTAAGGCCTCAATGGTGTTCGGATATGGTATGGGAAAACCTCGTCCGCCACTGGTCTTCGGATCCGACTTTCTTGGCCAGAAGCGAAGCCGGGAAGAAAAATCGGATGTCCGAGAAGGCAATGACGACACAATGGCACGGAGGCCGCAAACCCCAGAGTAAACATAAAGAAGCTCTTGTAAGTCTTATTCAAATAAACCTACACCATTTTAATCTTTTATTTTTTTAAATTTATTTAAACCTTTTTCTAACCTTGTAGGCGGGGCCTCAAAAGAAGAGGGTCCCTATCCTCAGTGTAATCAAACATTGTTGGACGAAGAGCGGTGTTGAGTCGCCAGCCAATCTACCACCCCGCCTTGCTGAAATCGAAGTATGTAACATCAATACAATTATTTCAAAATCAATACTATTATTTCAAATTGAAGTAAATATCATTGAATAATTTTTTTAAATGTTTGTAGACAAAGTATAACGCAAATGTTGAAAAGAAGCGGGCGGAACTTGGCTTGACTCAAGAAGATGACATCGGTTCTGATGTGGAAGATGATGCCATCCTTGAGGCAACAGGGGTGTACAAGGGTCGGCTTCCATGCCTCGGGGCTGAGGGGCAACGTATTTTGTACGATCGCAGCGGCAGCGGAGCTTCATCATCTTCTCAATCTAGACGAGGAGAGGATCCACGCATTGCTCAATTGCAGCGAGAATTGGAGGAGCAGCAGCGTGCATTTGAACAACAACGAAAGAATGATGAAGAAACGAGGGCCCGGCTGGAAGCGATGGAACGGATCCTTGCTGGATATCAGCCTCCACCTCAACCTCATCCTCGTCCGTACATTATGCACGTTGAGCAGACTCCTCAGGTTCCGCACATGGGTGGTATGGGTTATCACTCTAACTCCGGTTATGGTGCCATGCCTGCAATAGGGTCTACATTTGGATCTCTGTCGCCTGATATGCTCCATCAGTTTCAGTCATCGGGAGGAGGCAGCCGAGGAAGCCACCGAGGAAGCCACCGAGGAAGCCACCGAGGAAGCCACCGAGGAAGTCACCTAGGAGGCAATCGAGGAGGCAATCGAGGCAGTCGAGGAAGTTCCCGACCCTTAGACCCCGTGGATGCAGAAGAGGATCATCATCGTCATTATGATGATAATGATGATGAATACGATTACGATGATTCTAATTATTATCACAATGGAGTCCGACGTACGGGCATGTAATTACATTATATTGTTTGACATTGTATTGATTTTGTTTTTATAATTCTGTCTGTAATAACATTTTTATTTTTAATAGCGTTTGCAATTTATTTTTATTGTAATTGCTATAAAATAAAATTAAAATAATTTTTTATTTTTTATAAAAAATTGTTTTTTTTAAAATAAAAAACATTAGTCACGGACTTAATCCGTGACTACTTTTTAATCCGGAATAAATTCAATTTTCGTTTTTTATTTTTTATATAAAATTGTTTTTTTTATAATCAAAAACATTAGTCACGGACCAGATCCGTGACTAAATTTTATCCGGAATAAATTCAATTTTTTTAGATTTAAAATAGTCACGGATACGTCCGTGACTACCACAAAAATAAAAAAAATTAAATTGAACTTAGTCACGGCTCGTGTCCGTGACTAATTCAAAAAAAATTTAAATTAAAAGTAGTCACGGATATGGTCCGTGACTAACGTGCCGGAGGCTTATTCCGGTCAAGATGTAGTCACGGACGTCGGTCCGTGACTAATCTGTGACTACACCTAGTCACGGCCACTGGTCCGTGACTACATTCTAGTCACGCAGAACTAGTCACTGAACTAGTCACGGACGAAGTCCGTGACTAAAAGTGTTAGTCATGGACTTTTTACACTACGGTCCGTGACTACGTCCGTGACTACAGGTGAATTTTTTTGTAGTGTTGGCATATTAACCATGAGATGCATGCATTAATATTCCCAGTTTACTACCGTTGAAAGAACCGAATTAATAACAAGCGTATTAACCGATTGATTCTAGTAATAATTAATATGAGAAACAATACTAGTTGATACTTTAAGTAATGTTTAAGATATTAACATGAAATATGAGTAGGAATTAATTAATACTCAAGAGAGAGAATATTAAAGAATATGAATCCTACTATGATTAATATCAAGATGTTGACTAATTGTCATCTTAGTAACACTCCACAATATTAACATAGAGGAAGAAATAGTTATTACTATAACCAATGTCAAGATGTTAACTAATTGTCATCTTAGTAACACTCTCCACCTTTGATATAGATATAGTATTTTAGAGGAAGAATTAATATTCAAGGAAGAAAAATTAAAGAAAATAACTCATAACTTACAAATTCATTAAGCTTCAAAGTAACAAAACCAAGATGGAAGAGTTTAGCTCCTCATTTGGAGACTAAACATGATGAAAAATATAAAGAAAGAACTATTCTATACTGAGCTTAGATGTACAAAGGAATTGGATCTCTTTTTGTGAAGGAAATGAGGTGTATTTATAGGCTTTTGGGATGGGATTCGGTTACTCGATCGGGTATATACATGGTACCCGATCGAGTACGTGTGTAACACTCGATTCGAGGTATACTCGACCGATTTCAGGCTATTTTCCATAAGTATACCCGATCGAGTATATATTAATACCCGGTCGAGTATGTTTAGAAAATGATATTCGGACCATACTCGACCGATCTTCGTTTGAAACTCAAAGGCATACCTGATCGGGTATGTCGGTCTACCCGATCGGGTATAGACATAAAATCGTGGCCGAAATCTTCCCGGCATGTTCCCTTGTCTTCGGATCTGATCCGATTTGAAGTTCCAACCTAATACCCGATCGAGTATAGTTAATACTCTACCGAGTATAGACCAAAATTCAGGATCTTCTTTTGTCTTTGAACTTTTGCACCTTCCTTCCACTTTTTGGGTTCACCAACATCGGGTATGTCGGTCTACCCGATCGGGTATAGACATAAAATTGTTGCTTCTCTATGATTTCGTAAGGGCCATAAAATCTGGGGCTAAGTTTCTGATTGATCCTTCTTGCCGAACTCCTCATCTTGTAGGGTTGTATTTTCAGGAACACTTGATCTCCAACCTTCAATTCCACTTCCCTTTTGTGCTTGTTCGCTTGTTATTTCATCAGAGTCTGAGCTGTGGCCAGGTTCTCTTTTAATTCCTTCAGTATCTCATTTCTCTCAGCTGTCAGTCTAGACACCTCAGCTACAGCAGTTAAACTCACATCTCCTCTTATTCCATGATTGCGTACTTTGTTTTCCACGTTAGGTGAACTGCTATTGACGTTGGCTTTTATTCTATAATTTATCTACTATCACTGCACGGTCGCTTTCTTTTCCCTGCGTACTCTATCATTGGTATCAGAGCCAGGTTGATCGCTGGATGATATTGACGCGCGCGAAGATGGAAGGGCGCATGACGGAGATTGAACGGAATCAACGGGAGATGCAAGCCAGTATGGAGAGGAATCTGAGAGAGATGCAACACAATTTAACGGTGAATTTGGCAGAAAATATGGCGGCGATGCAAGCCTCCATGCAAGCGACGATGCAAGCAAATTTGGCAGAATTACAGAACCGAATCTCAACGCGAACGAGGAGTCACTCACGTCGATCGAGTACTTCACATCGCACCACTCATCACCAACGTTCGAGGAACGTTGGTAGTTCGGGAAGTTCGGACGGTTCTTCTCCTCCATCTGCATCGCGACATGATCGCGGACATCGCCAAGGTCACAAGTATCACCCTCCGGCAGGTCGGAAAATTGACTTACCTCTTTTTAATGGCGAGGACGCTTTTTGGATGGTTAGTAAGGATGAATAGATATTTTCGTCTGAACAATATTGAGGAGGAACACAAGGTAGATGTGATAGTTGTGGCTTTGGAGGATCAAGCCTTGAGTTGGTTTCACCAGAGATCTGACCAAGCGTTTTCAGCCGGAGTTGGTACAAAATCCGCTGGGACCATTGTTTAGTTTGAAACAGAAAGGAACCGTAAAAGACTACAGAGATAAATTTGAAGTAGCCATGGCTTCACAGGGGCACCTGACTGAAGAAGTACTGAGAGGGGTATTTTTAAATGGACTCAAACGTGACATAAGGGCTGAGTTAAAACTGTATTCTACCAGAACACTTGCTGAGATCATGGACACATCTTCATTGATTGAAAACAAAAACACTGAAGCAATCATCATGAAGAGTAAAGAGGAGGGAAGGAAGAAAGGGCCAGGGAAGTCCAACAATGATCAGTCGTTTCAGAATTGGAAGGATGGGAGTAAATGGAAGAGTAATCCAAACACCTCTGCAAATTCAGGTAAGGGAGCTAGTGAAGGTAAATCTGTTGAGGAGATGATTCAACCTAATCAGAAGCGAACTGGTCCCAGATTGTCTCAAAGTGAGCTGTTGGAAAGAAGTAAGAAGGGGTTGTGTTTTAAATGTGGTGAGAACTGAAATAGGGGACATGTGTGTAAAATGAAGAACTACAAGATGATTTTGGTAGAAAATTCAGAAGGTGAGAATGAGTCTGGAGAAGAGTTGGTCGATCCGGAGGAGGATAAAGATGCCCACCAGCAACTCAAAACGATGCAGCTGTCAGTTATGAGTAAAGAAAGATTTGCCTCCATGAAAACTTTCAAGGTTAGGGGAGTTCTGAAGTGGGCAGGTGGTGAAAAGGTGGTGAATATTCTTATTGATAGTGGGGCTACCCACAATTTTATAGCACAAAGTTTGATTGAGAAGTGGCAGATTCCTTTTACACCTATTCAAGGGTATAAGGTACAAATTGGGAATGGAAATTTCATTCCCAATAGAGGGAAGTGTATGGGCCTGCAGTTAGAAGTGCAAGGGACTATGATTCAGCAAACCTTCTACATGTTAGAGCTTGGTGGAACTGATGTGGTTTTGGATTTGGAGTGGTTGACTGAACTGGGTAACATGGAGGTTAACTTTCAGAATCAGGTAATCAAGTGGAGGAAACAAGAACACGATTATATAATCAAGGGGGAAACAGCCTTAAACAATATGGAGGTTTCAATGAAAACCATGGCTCACATTTTACATCAAACTGGGGATGGTTTCTTATTGTACTGTGAAGGAGAAATGAATGACTCTGGACAGAAGGGAGAAAAAGAGGAATGGGGCAGAGTGGTGGCAGAATTTCCAGAAGTTTTTGCAGCTCAACTGAAGTTCCCTCCAGCCGGGGGTTGTGATCATGCTATAACTATCAAGGAAGAGGCCAACATTCCAAACTTGAGACCCTACGGGTATTCTTTTGATCAAAAGAATGAGATAGAGAGAATCATTGATGAAATGCTGAAATCTGGAATAATCAAACATAATAACAGTCCATACAGTAGTCCTGTTCTTTTAGCTAGAAAGAAAGATGGGGTTGGAGGTTTTGTGGAGATTATAGGGCTTTAAATAAAGTGACTGTGCCTGACAAATTTCCAATTCCAGTCATTGAAGAGCTGCTGGATGAATTGGGTGGAGCTAGGATTTTTTCTAATTTGGATTTAAAATCAGGATATCATCAGATCAGAATGAAGGAATGCGATACTCATAAAACTGCCTTCAGGACCCATGAAGGACATTACGAGTATTTGATAATGCCGTTTGGGTTGACGAATGCTCCTTCAACGTTTCAGGCGTTAATGAATGAAGTTTTGAGACTATTCTTAAGAAAATTTGCCTTGGTGTTTTTTGATGATATTCTAGTTTACAGCAAAACTAGGGAAGAACATAAAGAACATTTAAGGCAGATTTTGGAGGCTTTAAAAAGGAATGATTTGGTGGCTAATCAAAAGAAATGTTCCTTTGGTCAAAGGGAATTGAATTATTTAGGCCATATCATCTCTGAAAAAGGAGTAGCAGCTGACCCCACTAAAATTGAAGCTATGAAGAATTGGGCTGTTCCCAAAGATCTGAAAGGGCTGATAGGTTTTTTGGGCCTAACGGGGTATTACAGGAGGTTTGTGAAAAATTATAGTAAAATTGCTGCCCCACTCACCGTCCTTTTGAAAAAAGATGGTTTTAAATGGAATGAATTGACCAATAAAGCTTTTGAAGACTTGAAGATTGCTATGATCTCTGTACCAGTCCTCAGGATTCCATATTTTAATAAACTGTTTTTGGTAGAGACTGATGCCTCAGGGAAAGGGTTGGGAGCTGTTTTGATGCAGGAATGAGGACCTATTGCATATATGAGTAAAGAGCTATCTCCTAAGCATTTAAATAAATCAGTCTATGAGAAAGAATTGATGGCCATTGTGTTTGCCGTACAAAAATGGAGACCTTACTTATTGAGAAGGAGTTTTGAAATCCACACGGATCAACGAAGCCTGAAATATTTAACTGAGCAGAAAATTATGGGGGAGGATCAGCAAAAATGGATCGCAAAGCTCATGGGTTATAATTTCATCATCAAGTATAAACCGGGATGTGAAAACAAGGCAGCAGATGCTCTTTCCAGAAGTTTCAATCTCTCTGCCTTATCCATAGTTACATGCCAGGAATGGAAGGGTTCAGAAGAGGAGCTGCAGGCTGATTCTAAATGTGGGGATATCATACAGAAGGTACTCAGTCAGCCAGATCAACACAAGGACTTCAAAATGAAAGGAGGGTTGCTGTATTACAAAGGGAAGCTGATGTTACCAAAAGGATCTGGAAGGATCCTGACCATTTTGAAGGAATACCACGACTCAGCAGTGGGGGGCATTCAGGCTACTTCAGGACTATGAAAAGGATATCCAGTCTTTTCTTTTGGCCTGGAATGAGATCCGACATCAAGGACTACATACAAAGTTGTGACACTTGCCAAAGAAATAAATACCAGGCTCTTAAGCCTGCAGGATTATTGCAGCCTTTGCCAATTCCTGAACACATCTGGACAAATATAAGCATGGATTTTATAGGTGGATTACCTAAATCCTACGGGAAGGATACTATATATTAGTGATTGTGGATAGATTGACTAAGTTTGCCCATTTTCTGCCCTTGTCACACCCATTTGATGCTAAGGAAGTTGCTGAAGTTTTTGTCCAGGAGGTGGTCAAAATTCATGGATTTCCCAAGTCTATTGTCAGTGACAGGGATAGCATTGTTCTTAGCAATTTCTGGTCAGAGCTGTTTAAATTGGCAGGGACTCAGTTGAGGTATAGTACTGCATACCTTCCCAGAGTGATGGTCAAACTGAAGTAGTAAACAGGTGTGTGGAAACTTACTTGAGGTGTGTAACTGGAAGTAAACTGAGGCAATGGGTGAAGTGGTTACCTTGGGCTGAGTTTTGGTACAACACAAATTACCATATCTCTCTCAAGAATACTCCTTACCAAGTCTTATTTGGACAGGACCCCCCTACCATAATAAGAGGAGATGTGAGTTTAACTGCTGTAGTTGAGGTGTCTAGACTGACAGCTGAGAGAAATGAGATACTGAAGGAATTAAAAGAGAACCTGGCCACAGCTCAGACTCTGATGAAACAACAAGCGGACAAGCACAAAAGGGAAGTGGAATTGAAGGTTGGAGATCAAGTGTTCCTGAAAATACAACCCTACAAGATGAGGAGTTTGGCAAGAAGGATCAATCAGAAACTTAGCCCCAGATTTTACGGCCCTTACGAAATCATAGAGAAGCTGAACTCTGTGACTTTCAAACTCAAGCTACCTAGTGATTGTAGAATACATCCTGTATTCCATATTTCCTTGCTTAAGAAGATGTTGAAACTTACTGTCCATTATCAAGAACTTCCTAGTTGTCTTACAGAATAATGTGAACTACGAGTACAACATGCAGAGATTAGAGAAGTCAGAATGAATCCAAAAGGGAAGAGGGAACTCCTGGTACATTGGCAGGGACTTCCAGAGTTTGAGGACTCCTGGGAAGAACAGACAAGGATTTTAAATAATTGTAACTGCTTTTAATAGTGGTGGGGGGGGGACTTTAAATAGTATAAGGAGAGTAAAGGAAGGCAGGCAGTTAGATCTTAGGATAGGGACTGGGAGGAATTGAGACGTGTTGTCTCTTTCCTTGGGACTGCGTACGTTGTTTTCCACGTTAGGTGAACTGCTATTGACGTTGGCTTTTATTCTATAATTTCTCTACTATCACTGCACGGTCGCTTTCTTTTCCCTGCGTACTCTATCAATATCATATCATATTTTCATTCTATGATGTTAGTATTAACTTCATTGTACTATTTTAAATGGTATCATGAGTACATAGGGTATTTTCTTTAGTATATAAGCTTTTGAGTTTAGCATTGATTCTTCTTGTTGCAACAACTAGTGTTGAAAGAGTGTTTTCTGCAATGAATATCGCGAAGGATAAATTTAGCAACCAAATGGGGGATGACAGTGATCGACTTCTTGCTTATGTAAAAAAAATATCTCCTTGGAACTTGGAAGTTGACAATGATGTCATTTTAAATGATATTAGCCTGGTGTATTTGTGATGTGTTTTTGTATTTGACTCTGATGAAAACTCAATTGTTGCAATCTTTATTTTTGTATTTTACTTAATTGTTGCAATTAAATGAGTATACACGGAGTATATATTAAATTTTGCCCCCACAGGATTTAAATGCTAGAACTGCCCCTGATGAAAACTATACTATGTATTATTTTTTAAATCTGCGTATTTATGAATTATGATTTGATCTCCTGATTCGATTTAAAAATACAATTTTAGTTATTCTAGTCTTTGTCACTGATTCTGCAATCTGCAGCTAGTTTTGACCAAAAATAGAAAAGGTTATGCATAGATAGTTGTCAATTGGAACTTTATTAGTCCACGGTTAAGAATTATTGTATTTTCGTGTGCTAGTTATATTTACTGTATTACATAGTACTAATTGCAGTTCAAGTGGTAGCTGAAATGCTTAAAACAATTCATTTGGGTGCAGTTTGTAGAGCGTGGTTCTCACTTGATTAAACAAAATGTATGGAAGGAAAGGGTGTGAATTGGTGAGAGAACTTGCAGATGGCGAACCTGGGCAGCTCGCAGCTTACAATGTAGCCTTTCATCTTATACTACAATTTGCTATTTTGTTTCTCCATTTGAAAGCAACCACTATCTTATGTTATTGCTTAGATTTTACTGTATGAAAAGGGTACTTCGCAATTCACATCTAGTTTTTGCACAGTTGTTTATTTATTTCGGTGTTTGCACTTAATATCTCACAGTATGGTTGGGGTAGTTTCTTTTATTCAAATTCTTAAGAAGATCTAGAGTCAGTTTTTTCTTTTGCACTAATGCTGGTGTTACACAGTTTTTTTCTATTGGCTGAGCTCTAGTGCTTAACTATACATTATACGTAGTATACAATATACCTTAAATGTTTTATGACTTGGTTTTGTTTTTTCCAACACAGAGTGATTTATTTACTCAAGTAATTGAGGAATGTAACAGCCATTTCCTTCTTCTTCAATCCTTGTTGAGGTAACAAATTTAGAATTAATTACCGTACACTGACCTTTGTGCATGTTTTTTCACTTTCTATTCTATTTTCTTTTTGTGTTTCTCACCCTGGTTGTCTGCTCTGTTGATGTTGTGATAAATTTCATTATTTCACACATAAGTGGTCCTTAATAGTCAGGTCAAATACATGTGCATCAAGAGGCAAGACTTAGGGTGCTAATCAAGCAAGCCTACTCCCAACCTACTTGAGATCGACTCGGTTTGTACTCAAACATAGCTCGACTCCATTCAAACTCGACTCGTACTCAAACACGGCTCGAACCGAATCAAGTCAAGCTCAAGCTATTCGATTATGAGTTAATGACTTAATGTTAATTATTTTAGATTCATATGACATTGCATCATATATTCATAGTATGGATCCAAGCATTACAATTATACTTATCTTCTACTAAAAACATACTAGAGATTCACATATTGCATAATGTTTTAGACAATCTTCTAAAAGTGTTACGTGGATTATAGGTATTCCTGGGTAACACTCAACCAGAATTAAGTAGGACTAATTAAACATAGTTCATCCTAATTTAAATAAATCATAGACGGAAAAGAGAGTCCTTATATCTAAGAGACAAATAGGCGGGAAATTTTAAAACAGTATTTTTATGTTTAACAAATTATTGATGATAACGCATGCATGTTTAAACATATACCAAATCAAACTTTTTTCATTTAAAAATATATTATTTTTTAGAATTGATAAAACTCGAATACAATTCGAACTCGAACTCAACTCGAACCAAGCCATAATTTTTTTTTTGGCTTGACTGATACTCGAGTCGAACTCGAACTCGGTCTTTCTCTATCATGCCCTGCTCGATTCAAGCCGAGCTCGAGCTCAATTGCTCGATTCAAGCCGAGCTCGAGCTCAATTGCTCGATTAGCACCCCTAGGCAAGACTTAAAATTTCTTAATTTTATTATTCTTTGCTATAAAATGATAATAAAAGGCTGGATGCAGACTTGCATAATTAAAGCCAAACATGATTTCCAGAAGCAAATTATTTGACTTCGTACATGGCCATCGACCATTCCAGGTGTAATTATTCTCCTGATTTCTTCGTCAGTGTTAGTTTTGAATGCTTTCATAAATATGACAAAGTCACAAAACCATATATCTCTTATGCCTTGCTTCCTTGTGTGTGTTTTAAAGTCTATATACCAGTTTGTTTAGCAGAAGTTTCTCTTATGAAGGATGAAATTTATGTGATCTGGCTATTTCTAGGAAACAGGTCAATTGAACTGCATCCTAGTATTTTTAAAATATATATTGATATTTATTTATACTCTACACTAATGCTCGTTGACGCCCGGGTTAAGGTGTTAAGGTGTTGCTGTGTGACGGAGAGATCACGAGTTCTAGTCTTGGGAGTGGCCTCTTGTCAAAATTTGATAGGGGAAGGCTTGCCCCTTATACACCATTGTGGGGGAATCCTTCTCGGATCCTCGCCTTTCAGGGATCATACTTGTCATGTCGTCACCTAGATGTTGCCTAGTCGCCAACTAGGTGTCCTGGAGATGGAGAAGGATTGACAAGAGAGACCGACTCGCCTGAAGAAGATAAGTCGCGTCTAGCATCGTCCAGGGCTCCAGGCATAAACATGCCGTCCAGGCTCAGCCCTGGCATTGCGCCAGGGAGATTAAAATCTCAATAAATTCGTTTTTAGAAACCTAGCCCAAAATAAGATTTAGAAAGTAGAGCCTTCAGAAAGTCTGAAACTCGAAGGACATCGTCGACTCTCAAACTTTGAGGCTAATCGATGACTCCTAAACACGAAGCATCGCTAGTCAGTACTTGTCTGCTGCTTGCCACTGTCCGAGGTTGAAGACGAACTGCATTTGCTGTGTCGCAAGGTTGAAGACGTCCTGCGCTCTTCTCCAATATATTAATATATTTTGAGAAAAGGGTCAAATAGTCTTCTATTACGGAATCGTCACATAAGGTCATGTACTCAATAAAGTGTCATATAAATACGTCTACTTATAAAAAACAATCAGATGAGTCCTAACGACCCATTCACAACCTCATAAATTCTGATTTTAGCTTACGTGTCGTTATTTTTGCCTTGTATTTAAGTCGATCTTAGCTAAATATTACACATCAGCCTTATAATCTATTTTGAATATAGTCAGGCGTACACTAAATTGGGATTACGAGGTTGTCAAAAGGTCGTTAGAACGCATGCGATTGCTTTTTATAAGTAGATGTATTTATATGCCACTTTATTGAGTTCATGGCCTTATTTGACTATTTCATAATAGTAGAAGTCCTTATTTGACCCTTTTCTCATATACTTTATAGATGCAGTAATGCACTAAGCAGTATACCCACTACAGTTTTACATGGTTTAATTTTAATACATAGTATTTTACATGTAGAAATGTATAATTCGTATACACTGTACAGTATGTATAGATATACACTACAGTATATATTAGTATGCATTTAACTAGTATACAATTTATCGTTGTGACCTGTACTTGCTACAACTTTTCCATATTTGTTAACATTGCAACTGCCACTTCTGGAGTTCTGGTGTGCTTATTTATTGCCACAGCACTAGTGTTTACCTTAAAATATGCTTTCCACTATGCCCACATTATGTTTCTTTACCTTAAAACTGTGCTTTCCATTTTCCCAGTTGTTTGTTCTTACTATGGGTTATGAACTTATGATACCCTTTTACCTGTAGGTCATCATCTTTTGATAATTCAAATAGCCAACAACCATCTGAAGATGCTGATTACAATGGCTTGCTGGTTCATCACCGGTCTCTTATCCGCAATAAACGATGTCTCATGGCTTATGTGTAAATGCCCTTCAATTTTTTATGAACATTAGTATTTGAAGGCAACATCTGCAGTTGTCTAGGTAAAAAGTGGGAGTAGCACATATTAAGATGCTAGAGCCTCGATTGCGGTGGTTTGACCATGTTTGTAGAAGGCCAAGTGATGCACCTTTTAGACGAGTTGATAGGTAGGAGAAGGATGAGGAGGGAGGACTGGAAGAGAGGGAGATGAAGACCCAAACGGACATGGATTAGATGAGTCAAGAATGATATTTTACCTCTTGGGTTGGATGACAACATGAATTTGGAGAGGGCAAAGTTGAGGGATTGATCTCACTTTATCTTTTTTATCTTTCTTTTCTTTTATCTTTTGTTCTTCTCTATCTTATGATCTTATCTTTTTTATCCTTATCTTATCTCTATCTTTTTCTTATCTCAATTTTTAGCTTTTTTATATTTTTTAGCTCTGATTTGATATGGCAATTCATGTTAGCCGACCCCAAACTCTTTTGGGACTAAGGATTCAATGTTGTTGTTCTGCAGTTGATTATGTGCATATCTCTCATTAACCAATATCTCATGTTTGTTTCTGGTGATAGATACAACCGTGCTGAAATCATTCGCAGTTTAGGTTGGACCCTTGAACGGGTACTCCCTGAAGAAATTGAGGAGAAACTTAGCAGTTCAGAAAAGGATTATTTCAAAAATCATTCTGCTACTCTACAATCGTGCATGTCAGAACTTGATCTGGACTTGGGTGTGGTAAAAAGATAACTCTTCTTTGATTTTACACTTAGTTCAGAAGCATCAAAACAACAAAACGTATGGTATTATTTGTCAAAGTTATGGCACTTGTCAATATGGACATTCCTTTTATTAGAGAATTTTGGTATTTGCTTTGCACATATATCTCAATATTTGACTTTGCATTCTGTGTTTAACTTTGTTCAACTATGCTCATAGAACAAGGGCAAATGAAGGAGATGCAGTCTTATAGAAATAGCCCATTTTAGAGTGATCAGGGTGCAAGGTAAAAGCAAATGAGATTGGGTTCTCTGAGAGTGCAAAGTAAAGCCGAATATTGGAATATACATTGATGCAAAATTGCAAGTGCAAAATTTCCGTTTTGTTAGAAGGCACTTGTTAGAAGTTAGAACATGCAATTTTTTGCCTATCATAAGATGTGAACTTCATGCCTATTTTGTATTAGGATAGCTTAGCTTCTTCTCTTCTCCCCTATCTTTTAATGTTTTAACAAGGAAAGGTTCTGTGTACCATAATAACTATTCTGGACAGGATATGGTGCCACCCAAAGACCCCTACATCAAAGTGAGGGTCCTTGATGACATTGGAACTGTTTTGTTGAGCGATCAGTTGGCAAATCTGGCACTCCATGCGATTCTTTTTCTTAGAAGAACTGATGCTGAGCAGTATATCTCCCAGGTGACGGATGATTCACTCTTCTTCTTCCCATAAGCTTTTGTTACTCGTAAAACATTATCAAATTTTCATTTTTTTGCAGGGGTTGATGGAGGAGCTAACAAGTTGAGTGGAATTTCTCAAGTAAAAACACTATTATTAGTTTATTCTACATGCACCATCTTTACACCTACTATGTATGTCTGGTTGGAGGAACTAACAGTGTAGTTTGTAGAGATTCCTTCTGGTTCTATGAGAGTGAGGTAATTGCCATATCCCAAATTCCCAATGGTCTTTGCAATTGATGCTAATGTATTGGGGGTACGGGTGGACATGGTTCTGGACTGAAATAGAACTGGACTGATAATTTTTGCCCAAAAAAACGGGCGACTGGTCGAACCAGGTTGTGACTGGGCTGTCCATCTGTAATTTCCTTCACCACAGTTCAGGTTAAGGTGCCTACATATGGAGAACCGAAACCTCCCAGTACAGAATTGGAACCAGATCCAGTGCAGTTGGAAAGGGTTGCCCCAATCAAGCTCATTGTGAACAACATTAATGACAAACAAGTTCATGTATTTGTGGTGTTCTTGCTTTTTGTTAATGACATTAGTTCCCTTGTCCGTTTGCTGCTGCATTTGACATTCTATCCTTTACTTTTCATTTTATACGGTTTGAATGATGAGTTGGTGATAATTAATATTCAAAAAATATATCATAAACGATCTTGGTCCTCATGCTCAATTGGATAATAGTACGGGACTAGGGATGGACCTTGACCGATTCGGTCCCGGTTCTGGTCCAGAACCGGTTTTGGTTTGGGATCGGCCGGTCCGGTTTTGGGATATCGAGGACCAGAATGACCCGGGTTAATACAGACCTGGTTCCGATCCGGTCTACCCGGCCGGTCTCGGTCCTTTTCGAGTCCTAATTTTTTTTTTAATTATTGGAGAATTTCCGTTAGGATCAGAATTTGGTGGAGCAACTAGTATTGTGAGGCATATAGGTATTGATGTGGGATATTATCCTTGGTGGGCTGGAACTGATGGACTGGGGTCCGGTTCAAATCCCGGACCGGCTGGTCCCGGTTTCAAAATAGGAAGGCCTGGAACTCACCTGAATATGAAGGGTCTTGGTCCTGTCCTGAGTACCACCGATACCCCCATGCACATGTTCGTGTAGTTTGAACAAATTGGTGTCGCTCCCTTGCTCCTCCTTGTAGGGGTATCCCCGCGTTCTTCCTACCCCACTAGGGGTCTCCTCGCATCGTCGTTCTCCAACACTTTGTCAATCTTGGGAATGACTTCTGGATTCAGAAACCGTCATTGGTGTTGCGACAAGAGTTGCACCATTTGTTCTTCGGTCATGGAATCTCTAGAATCATAATTGGCCTCTCAATCATCACAGCTATGGGATAAGGATGTTGCCCCAATGTGGTGTTTACCACGGGAGTACGAGACCGCGAAGAAGGGTGGGATTGCAAAATATCCTTACGGTTGCGTTGAAAATTACCTAAATGAACAAATTTTCTACGGCCCGACAATTTTAAAATGTAACTAATATTAAAAGTAACAAATATTGAAATGTAACTAATATTAAAATGTGACTAATATTAATAGAAAAAAATCACACTAATAATCCCACCTATTATCGGTCTTCCATTATTAATCCCTCCCATGCGTAATTCTAGATTAATACGTATTAAAGGGGTAACCTTCCACAAACACTCTCAATGCATTGGCAACCGGTTGAACTGGTAACACTTAAAATTGGCTACCTAACAACGGTCTGACTATTAGGTCAATTGAAGACAAAGGATAGGGAAACAAAGTTGTCGCCATTACAGACTGAGGAACGAGGAACGAAGAGGGGTTGAAGAAAGGTTATACGTCCACGGAAAGAAGAATGGTAAATTGGAATCCTTTCCCTCCTTTTTTTGTCTTCGTTTTTTGTCTATTATCATGTCTTCGTTTTTTGTCTTTGTTGCTTTGTTCATACAGTTGTCATTGATGTTAATTTTTGTTCCTGGAACAGAGTTGTCTGATTTTCACTTTTAGGGTTTAGGGGAAACTCAGGTTAAACTGCGTATATGGCATGGGGGAGTATTTAAGAAGGACAGTAGGGGTAGACTACAATACGTGGGAGATACTTTTAGAATTTTTGATGTAGATGCAGACGAACTATGTTGGTTTTGGTTAGAAGAATTAGCTAAGAAATGTGGGGATTATTGTACTATTGATGCCATTTACTACATGGTACCTAATCTAAGCTATGCAGAGGGATTGAAAAGGGCATATCATGATGATCAAGTGAGGGATATGATAGATGTAGTCTTAAAGACAAAGTGCGTTGACTGCTATGTCATTCATGGAATTGATGTGCCAGATTTAATTGAAGCAATTGAATATGTGGGACAAAATGAATGTGCAGAGATAATGTCATCCAATAAGAAGAAGAAACTTAGTCCTAGGGGAGGATCTAAGGTTCATGTGGGTACTTCACAACCTCAGATCACTGCTCCAGATTCATTTCAGGTTGACAGACCCCACAGCCCATTTACATGGGATGAAGAAGAAGACTCAGATGATCCAGAGTACACTCCTGCAAGTGAAGAAGGTAACATAAATGATGACAATTCTGATTTCCAAGGTGATACTTCAGAAGAGGAAGACCTAGAGAACATACAAGAGGGTCTGGTTGTGTCAGATCTTGATACCAGTGATGAAGAGTATCAAAAGGTTAGGGATCAAGTTAAGGGATGGAATGCCAAGATATTAGGGATTACAACTGCTCTTCAAAAAGAAGCTGGTGAGGGTAAACTGCCAGGGCAAAATCAGAGATCTAGTAAGGCTAGGGTGCAAGAAGGTATAGAGGAAGACTCTGCCTTTATTAGTGACTATGAAGACACAGAAGAAGAAACTTTAACACCAGATGAAGATGAAGAACAATATGAACTCAAAAAAAGAAGGAGGGAAATGATTCCAATTGTTAATGAACATACTGACTACAAAATACTTGAGTGGAAAGTAGGAACCAAATTTGAGAGTAGATAGAAATTTAGAGATGTTGTGGTTAGATTTGCAGTAGCCCAAGGCGGAAATCTAATGTTCAGTGTTAGTGATAAGAAAAGGCAACAAAGGTTAGATGCAATATGTGTACCCGGGTGTCCCTTCAGGATATATGCTAGCTGGGACAGTAGCAGAGGGTGTTTTGTGGTGAAATCAGTTGTAAGGGAGCACAGGTGTCTAAGAGATGCAAATGAGCAGATGTATCCCCTTGCCTAGGCTGTGATTGAAGGGGAAAATAATGATAGCCGGGAATGGTTCTTCATTCACTTAAATAGAGCAATAGGTGAAACAGATGGTTCTGAGCTTACTATAATCTCTGATGAACACCGGGTAATTTTTCTTTCCATTTTACTATTTGACCAGTGTGTTTTATTGTAATTTTGTATACTTTAGTGACTATGTTCTTTATAAGATTGATCTGAGGTTACATTGTTCATTGGTTGATAGGCTATTTTGAATGGAGTTCAGAAAGTGCTTCCTCGAGCAGAACACAGACATTGTGCAAGGCACATCTATGCCAACTGGCATAAAAACCATAAAGGGAATGAGCTTAAGATGGCTTTCTGGAAAGTGGTCAAGGCTTATAATCAAGCTGATTATGATGATGCTTTAAGGGAAATGGAGAATCTGAGCCCATTAGCCACCCAATCTTTCAAAGCATATGATCCAACCAAATTCTGCAGGGCCTTTATTAAAACAAATACCAAATGTGAGGTAATTGTCAACAATATGGCTGAGACATTCAATGGTTACATTCTGAATGCTAGAACAAAGCATTTAATATTCACGATGGAAGATATTAGGACAACTTTAATGCAAAGGATTGTTCAGAAAAGGCACCAAATGGAAGTCAGTCACCACATTATATGTCCTAGGATTCAAGCAAAGCTAGAAAAAGAAAAGGAAGAAGCAGCCAATTGTGCAGCAATGCCTTCATCTCTCATGGTCTTCCAAGTCAACCATAGAATGGATAGTATGACCGTTGATCTTATCTCAAAAACGTGCACATATAGGAAGTGGGAATTGACAGGAGTCCCTTGTTGTCATTCTGTAGCTTGCATGTTCTTTCTTCACCATGTCCCTGAAGACTATGTGGATAAGTATTATAAGAAGGAGACCTACATGAAGATATATAGTGGATGTATCCCTCCGTGCCCTGGTGAAAGGTACTGGCCAAGAAAAGAGGCTGAATTGGATCCTCCACCTATCAAAATTGGGCCTGGAAGACCAAGGAAAAATAGGAGAAAGGACCCTCATGAAGATCCAAAGAAACCTGGTAAGCTAACAAAGCATGGATTACAAATGTCTTGCAGCATATGTAAGTCCACTCAACACAACAAAAGAAAATGCCCGGACAAAGACAATAGTACAACCTCAAATGTTTCAAATGAACCTAAAAGACCAAGGGGGAGACCTAGGAAGAATGCACAACCTTCTACAGAGTCTGCCAGTCAAACTGAGTATACAAATGCCACTGCCCCACCTTCACAAATTGGGAGAGGTGGGAGGCTGATAATGAGAGGTAGGGGCAGAGGGAGGTCCAAAGGGAGAGCCAATGAGGTATGCATAATGCATTTTAGTGTATATTTGTTTAGTAATGTTATATTTATTGTGTTTATGAATTGGATGCAGGTTCCTCAGGGATTTGGTGTGTTCGTTGATGGTCAGGGAAACATCATTCTTAATGTGAGACTTAATGTCCTTATCCCTTTTCAATTGTTATATTGGTGTGCTCCTAAATGAAAATCATTGGCCTTTTTTTGTAGTCACCTGGTCAAGTAGGAGGTCCCAGACTGCTTTCAGGGGATGAATATGCTCCATCAAGCAATGGCAGTGCACCAGTGTGAAAGAATGTCGTGTCATGAATGATGTCTAATGACTTTTTGTTAAATGGATTTCTTTGTTTGGATGTATTTTGGATGTTGTTAATCTGCCTTTGATGTACTGGATGATGTTGTGCTTGTATTTCAGAATTCTGTTGTTGTTAAACTTTTCACTTGACTTGTGATGATGATGAAGTTATGGTATTTTAAGTTAATGGAAGCAGAGGTGTATTTTAAGTTAAGTGGAATGGTTCTTTTCAAGTTACTGGAATGGTTCTTTTCAATTTTCAGAATACTTTGGAGTGTACTTTGAACCATGTTCAAATGATCTTAACAAAATAACAAAACTTTAAGAGAAGTTCATCATACACATTACAAAACAAGATCCAATATTACATCAGTTTCATAGAAGGTACATTTCTTCAAATAAGAAGTAATTACATCACAAGATCTGGTAATATTACATCAACTTAGCAGAAGGTGAACATCCCTAATTCCAAGATCCAATATTACATCACTTTAACATTACATGGTACATTACTTCAAATAAGAAAGAATCCCAAAAACTATCCAAGATGCTATTATAACCATAACAACATATGCTTCTCCTCTAGCTGTTTTGGAAGCCACCATTCGAGAATCAACAACTTCTACAACCAACCTCTTGTTCTTCATCTTCAACTTGTGTACTCTTTCTTCCAATAACTTCTTCTCTGCCAACAACTGCTCAATTAGTAGATCTTTATCTTTCACTATTTGGACATCATATTGCACATCAGTGTCCTCACCCTATTCAAAGAAACGACAATCTGCATTCTACAATCAAAACGAGATATTGCACATCATTGTCATCATTGTCATTACAATCTGTATTCTACTCAAAATGTTTAGCACTACTTCAAGTGAAAATGACTTATGACAGAAAGAGTCATCATTAAAACTAAACAATTCAATGTTTTGCATAAACCCTAATGTTTAAAGCAATAATAGCGAGCATATAATTTTGATATAATTTAGAGCATTCAAAATTATAAACCCTAATGTTTTTATTTAAAACTAATATTTTCATCCAATGAAAACTAATGAAAAGTTTATAAAGCAGAGATACTTACAGGCCATAGCGAGCAGCCATAAAATTTTCTTCCAATGTTTGGACCGCTCTTTACCGTTGGCAATTTCGGCTCTATCTTGTAATGGCAAGTACGCACAACCTCTCTATTCGAGTTGCAGGTCCAAGAAGACGAACCACTCACTGAATTCATGATTGTTCAGTACTCAAGAAATTGAAGACCTTCCCTTCCCATTCGTTCTCTTCACTCGTCTCTCGCGCAGGGATGCAAGAATCGCGCAGGGATGTCGATTCGGCTTGGCCTCTGATTTTGGGATAAGAGGGGGAGGATAATCACGTGTGGGTCACATGATTCTTTAATTACCGGTTAAGATGGGTTCTTCAGGTTAATAGAGTGTTTGTGGAAGGTTACCCCTTTAATACATATTAATTTAGAATTATGCATGGGAGGGATTAATAATGGAAGACCGGTAATAGGTGGGATTATTAGTGTGAATTTTTCCATATTAATATGATAATGTAACTAATATGATAATGTGGCTAATATTGAAATGTAACAAATATTAAAATGTAACTAATGTTAAAATGTGACTCATATTAATATGATAATGTAATTAATATGATAATATGGTTAATATTAAAGCATGACTAATACTCCTTACTAAATTGTACAGAGTAATTTAATATTGAAATTTGGTTAATATTAATATGATAATGTAACTAATCTTAAAATGTGACTAATCTTAAAATGTAATTAGTATTAAAATGTGACTAATATTAATATGATAATAATGTAACTAATATCATAATGTGGCTAATATGACTAATGATGGGATATCAAGGTCCGACCCAATATACCGGCCTAGACTATCCCTGAAGCCCAGACACAAGGGAAGGTCCAGGGAAAATCTTCAGGCCCGAACGGAAAGCCCTGTTCGGCACATCCCGAACGGGATGTAATTAGCACTTGGGTAATTAGCTTATTCCTGATTGGTGGCTTAGTTGGGCTTAATCCCGAATGAGAATTGCTCAAGTAACCGACTGCAGTTAATGCTGGATCATGGGGGCATCAAGTGGCATGGGAGGCAACCAATCATATTAGAGCACCCCATACCCCATCTAGTATATAAATAGCAACATTTAATTCATTTGTAAGGTTTAACATTTATTTACTCTATAGCTCTAATAGCATTCTAGCTCTTGTATTAGCCTTTGGACTTGAACAGCCATTCGACCATTTCTGTGTAATTGTTATTACTGCGTTAATACAAGCTGAGTTATTTGAGTAGTTGAATCAGATTTTATATTTTCTTTTATACACTTTACCCTAGCAAATCGCATCTTAGATCCAAGGTTGGTGTTGGGCCTTCGGGTCATTCGAGACTTAACCTCAACATTGGCGCCGTCTGTGGGAAACGTTTACTAAAAGTTTCCAAAGCAAAACACTGATTTAAGAAAAGTTTACACACGTCAGCATGGACAGAATTACATCTGAAAATACTCATGGTACTTCCAGGGGACAGGGGGGCAACAGGTCCTCCGGAACCTGGGCAACGGAGAGCCGCACCAGCGGTAGCCAGAGTCAGGAGTAATTGGGATCTCACCAATCTAATCCCTGAAGCTGCAAGAAGAGATCCTCGAGTGATGAGGAAAATGGCAGAAACTATGCGCCGTATGGCTAATGAACATGACGGTGGTTACTCTACGTACATCGGGGACACCGAGTATTCAACTCCCTCACCAATTCATAGCATGAAGCCGTTGCATTCATATACCGAGGATACAGAGTCGACAAGGGCTTCAGTCTACCGACTCTACTCACGGTTGGGGCAAGGAGGGCACCGAAGGGCCCATACTCCCGGGTACCAACAACATACACCCTCAGACCGTACCCCGTTCGTGACCTAGCAGGAGGCTCAGTACAGAGAACGAACACCTGTGGTAAACCCAGCGGGGTGATATTTCCAATACATCGAAACAGATGAAGATCGATTTACAAGAAGACGTCAGGAGGTAGCAGCACATCGAGTGGAAAGAACCTCTGAAAGGGTTGATTTAGTAAAACCACCTCGAACGGCCCAGGAAGCAGCGCTGGCCGCCTTGCAATTACAAGTGAACGAGCTCACTCGTCAGTAGAATCAGACGCCTCAACCACCCCGTGTGGGGATTACATCTCCTTTTACAAGGGAAATAATGGAAGTGGAGATCCAGAGGGATTGCAGGCCCTCGGTCAGCCAAGTTTATAATGGGGTAGGAGACCCCAATGCACACCTGATGAACTACCAGGGAGGGCTCATGCTCTTGGGAGCCTCAAAGGCGGCCATTTGCAGGTTGTTTTTTAGCACTCTCCGAGGACCTGCCCAGGAATAGTTCAGCCATCTGCAACCTAGGTCGATTGGGAGTTTTGCCGCCCTATCTACCTTGTTCCTGGCACAATTCGCTTCAAGTGCTACCCCGAAGCGGCACATCAGCTATCTTACCAGTGTCCGCCAGGGGCCCAAAATCATTGAGTTCTTAATGAGGTGGAGGGATGAGGCGTTGAAGGTAGAGAACTTGACGGATTGCACGTCAATCACGCTATTTACCGATGCTCTTCAAACTGGGGAATTATACTGGGATTTGAAGAAAAATCCAGGGACCAGTTATGCGGAGGTTCTGGAACAGGCACGGAGGCATGCCATTCTGGAGGAGGAAATCACGATCACAGATCGGAGGGCACCGCATGCGCCCGCGAAGTTGGCCGATCGGCTGGGTCCTAGCCTAGCGGACACAAATGTTCCGAAACCAAACCGGTTTACACCGCTCGTCCTTTCCATTGCTACCATCTTCCAGAATGAGAAGGACATGATCCCCCCTCCAACAGACACAAAAGCTTACATGGGGTGCTATGACGCGTATTGCCAATATCACAAGAGGAAGGGGCATTCTACCCTGACATGTCGGGCGCTCCAAATTGCCATAGAGGAGTTGATCCAGCAAGGCCATCTAGGTAAGTATGTAGATAAAGACCCGAACGCAGCAGGCCCATCCAGGAGCAAAACAAGATTTTAAAGAGCTGGAAGAGGGATGATCAGCGAGATGCCCAGCCACGGAATGACGTGTACATACAGTCCAGGGAGGAGGCCGAAGGTTCAGGAAATCCAAGGAAGAAGCTCAGGATGGAAATCAAGGTCATCTTTGGCGGGGGAGAATCTGGGGACACGGCTGCCAAACGGAAGAAGTTCGAGCATAGCCTACTTGTGGCTTCCATCTCCGACCCGCCTCAGAAGAAGGTAAGGATCGAACCAATCACATTCGGTCATGCGGATATTTCTGCATCACCAAGTCCGCACAGGGACGAACTGGTGGTGAGTATGTGTGTTGATAATGCCCTTATCCACCGAGTCCTGGTGGATACAGGGAGTAGCGTGAACGTCCTGTACTTGCGGACGTTCGAGAGGATGAAACTGGGGAGGGACCTACTGACACCTCTGAAAATGCCGTTGACAAACTTCACGAGAAATTGTATCGATGCAGAAGGGACCATCTCCCTTCTGGTCGAAATTGGAGACGAGGGACACCGGGCGGCAGTCTGTATGACATTCGTAGTGGTGGACATTCAATGCGCCCACAATGCCATATTGGGCCGACCCGGATTAGAAGACTTGGAAGCGATTGCTTCGATTCGGCACTCCTGCATAAAGTTCCCAACTGACACTAGGGTTGGAGTAGCCTGAACAGATCCGGGCCACAGCATTTGGTTTTCACTCAAGAGGCCTAGGGATTCGGGTGGTACCTATCTCGGCTTCCACAAGACGAACGAGAGTTAAATAGTCCATGATATCCAACGTCTTGGTCCTCTCCACAACGATGATCTTCTCTTCTAGCTCCTTAGAAAGGAAGGGCTCAGTGGATTTGGGCGGATACACGTTCCACCTCTGTGGGATAAGCCATCCGGAACGGAAACAAAAAGAATCGGTCTTTCCACCCCTTGATGGAGGTAAGGTTCCCCTTGAAGAGAATCTGCCTCATTCGGGCACTCACTGCCAGGAATCCGTCGGTTTGTTGGGGAGCGACCTTGAAGAAATGATGGAAGACGTCCACATCGGGCACCCGGTCAACATCCACGCAACGACAAATAAACCCATTAATGACCCGATAGGAATTCAGCATTATTTGGTTTGGAACTACTTGGTAATGATTAAAGAGAGCCACAAAGAAAGGGTGCAACGGGAACCTTAACCCGGCCTTGACGGAATCGAGATGCACCACCACCATTCTAAGGCGGTGGCGCAGGGGATGGAGGCCAGCATGAAGGCGAAAATCAACCGGGTCAAGAATTAGGGCAGGAATCTGGGCTCTGAGTTTGGGCGAGAGGTTTTGCCTCCGATTTTTAATGGACCTCAAGTCCAGGTAGTGGCGAGGGGTATTGTCAGTAGGGCCTTTCTTCATCACCGCTATATCATCGCCGGATTTCGCACTGTCGGAACCACCACCCGAAGTCTCACCAGAAGAATCGCCGGAGTGGGCGTCTCCAGAACCGCTAGTAGAAGGGGCATCTTCGGCCACATTCTCTGCAGCGGCACTAGTGCCTGCGGTGTCATCCAAAGTGGCATTCATCTCGGAGTCCCGACCCAGTCCAATAATTGAGGGGTCAGAAGAGCTAGAACTCATTGACATGTGTGCCGAACACCCGAACCGGAAGAGAAAACGGAAAGAAGGTTGGTGATTACCTGAGTGAGCCTGAGAAATTGGGGATTTGGGGAAAAGGCAGAGCACTTGGACGAAGATGCAAAATTCAGAAATCCGGGGCCAAGGGCCCAAAGTCATACTTATACCAAAAAGCGCCGATTCGCGGACCAATCCCGGGCGGCAGACGGACACGTAGCAAGGGATGCTCCAAGGGACACGTGTCGAACGGAGGCGAAATGTCAGGTAATCATGATGGTTACATGGGGAATACAAGCGACAGTCGCCAAAGAGCTTCGAACCGTCATGTCATGGGCAGGCAAGCACTAGCAAGGAACATGAACGGGATCATACTGAACTGCGAGAAACTTAGTTTTGTACTTGCTCATGTCCCGAGCACAGACGCAAGGGAAGGTCCAGGGAAAATCTTCAGGCCCGAATGGCAAGCCCCATTCGACACATCCCGAACGGGATGTAATTAGCACTTGGGTAATTAGCTTATTCCTGATTGGTGGCTTAGCTGGGCTTAATCACGAACGAGAATTGCTCAAGTAACCGACTGCAGTTAATGTTGGATCATGGGGGCATCAAGTGGCATGAGAGGCAACCAATCATATTAGAGCACCCCATACCCCCATCTAGGATAAATAGCATCATTTAGTTCATTTTTAAGGGTTAACATTTATTTACCCTCTAGCTCTAATAGCATTTCAGCTCTTGTATTAGCCTTTGGACTTGAACAGCCTTTCGGCCATTTCTGTGTAATTGTTATTACTGTGTTAATACAAGCTGAGTTATTTGAGTAGTTGAATCAGATTTTATATTTTCTTTTATACGCTTTACCCTAGCAAATCACATACTAGATCCAAGGTTGGTGTTGAGCCTTCGGGTCATTCGGGACTTAACCTCAACAACTAATATAAAAATGCGACAAATATGAAAATGTGATAAGTATACTTAATATTTATAATAAAATGTTAATAGTATATACTAGTAATATTCGGAGTATAACAATACTATTATGAGATGAGTAGTATAATTATATATTTAATACTTTAATATATATACTTAAGATATATATTTAATTATATATGAGTAGTATAACGACATACTACGTATATTATATATTATTTATAAATATATGAATGTATAAATAAGTATTAGATATAAATATACTTCGTACATAATTATGAGCATAAACATATAAAATGAGATTGAGAGTAGTAGAGACTAGAGAGAAGAATGAGAATCTAGAAATTTAGAGCGAAATAAAATGAATGTGAAAAAAATGACAAAAATTGAGATAATTATAGAAATATTAGACCCCCAACCCCTCCAAACTCACTCCCAAACGGCTATATAGCCGTTGGTAACGGCTATTTGCCCACTCAACCCGTAGTTTTTTTTAAAAGGACTTGATTGACTGCTTAGTCCCAAATTTTGCAACCCGGGACCGGATGCCTCTTTTACCCGGTCAGTACCCGGTCCTGACCCGAGACCGAAACAAAAAACCTTGTTTGGTCCAGTACAATAACGACATTTGCAATGGAGCCAAAAACTCATTATTTTTTGGCTTGGGAATATGATGGAATAAAGGAAATGAACTCACTAAACTGTCTTTGCTTCTTTATTATGAAGCAACCGTCAGTCCATGCAATTTTTGACGCGATTTTCACTATGGGTCATCCGGAAACAGTCTCTCTGTACTTTAATAAAGGGGTAAGACTGCGTACATCCAACCCCCCTGACCCCACTATAGGTGGGAGCCTTTGGGGCACTGGGGTAATGATAATGATGATGGTCCAGTACAATACCGAACTCGAGTCCATCCCTAGTGGAAACCATGGTAGGATATAAGGAGGTCAGATAAACAATACCTCACTTAAGTGAAGACATTAGGAACCTAAAAATCAAGGTAAACATTTTGCGGTTTAGCTCAAAGTAGTTTGAGGGGGCATGACCGCATGATTGTCTGCTTGAAAATTTGGTTGATAATAACATTCTTGAAACATCCAATGACCCAATTGAGATTTTAGGATTTTGTGGCTCCCTCTCTATATCCAGCTATGAGAATTGAGTTAATAAAATGCATAAGAATGCAAGAATTTGTCAATGCGTTTTCGGAAATCAAATCATTTGCGGTGTGACCGTGTGAGATTTTCCATTCTCAGATGTAAAGAAAGGTTCATCGGGTCCTATCCCTACAATTCAAGGAATTGTTGAAATTTATCATCCATAACTCTATCTGGATGAGTGTGGGGCTTCAGGTGATTTCGTCTTGTGACAAATGTGTACAAAAATGCATGTTAACCTCAATACAATAATTATAGGATTCATTCTAACAGTTTGAATATCGCAAAATGTATGATTAAAATACGATCTCTTTATTAAGATATGACTATTTCTTAATTTAGCAAAGTAGTGTTATGTGTGTGTGCATTCGGCAATCTTTTAATAATTCATAACATGGTGTGGTGTCATCTTTATTCTAATTTGATAGTAAAATGTCATATATTTTGTCAGGTAAAAATCCATTCAAAAAAGACTAGAATAATGTAATTAAATTAAAGACCAAGAACAAATGATCTAATCAACAATTTTTTCTTCCAACTTTCAAGGATGAGTATGGAGAGTAACGCACTTCACATGAAACCAAGAATCTGCAATCAAAAAGAGCAGTACACCTACTAAACCTTCAGTTCTTGGACACTGCTATAGCATTCTCAACTTCTTGTGCAAACCCCTTTGTTGCAATCATGCTTTCATCAAAATAGCTCGCATAAGGATGGCCCTTCGGAACCAGTCTCCTATACTGCTCGAAATTCTTCTCGGCTTCATCGTTTTGGCTCAACAGCGTGTATATGATCCCTTGGCATAGGTACGGCCTGAAGTCCCGCGGCTCCTCCTTCACCAATTCTTTATAAACTTCCAAAGCCTCCTCACGCTTTCCTTCAATGACCCTAATTTGAGCCATCAACAGTTTGAAATCTCTCAATTCTGCCTTTTTATTTTCCTTCTCAAACAGCATCATCACCTCCTCAATTCTTTTCTCAATTTCCTTTAAATCCTCAATGGAATCATACTTGGATGCAGCCATTACCAATCCATGATAAGCCTCAACCCTAAGAGGGTCCTTTGAGAGAATCTCATTGAACCCCCTTTTCGCCATTTCAAACTCCCCTGTGTAGGTATGTAAATGGGATTTCAGCAGCAGCCATTCAGCATCGCTAGGGTCTAGCTCTATCAACCTGTCTATAATCCCAATAGCTTCAACGATTTTCTGGTTCTGGATCTTAATCTCCATTAAATTCTTCAATGCTTCGACATCATTAGGGTTGGACAGCAAGTTCTCTTCGAGGACCCTCTCCTTTTCCTCGCTTAAGACTGCAGACTCCACGGCGGCCGTGGTTAGGACAGGGGAAGCAATGGCCGGCTTTAGCTGGACCCAAAACCTGCCAAACAAAAGCGCCGCTGCAGTTACGGTGGTAACGACGGTGCTTTTGAGAACGGAGAAGGGGAATTGAAATGCGGATTCGGTTGGGGTTCCGCCGCGTTCGGTTCTAGGGTTTAGCGAACTGAAAAGATTGGACTTTGAAGCTTGAGGGGAAGAAGATGGCGGGAGCGGATATGACGAGGCTTTGATGGAGGTCGACGAATCCACTGAAGGCGGGGTCGTAAGGGAGAGGGAAGAGACGGGCCGAGAAAAGATCGAATGGCGATGACCGGAAGGGAGGGGGAGTTTAAGGTTTGGTTTTGCAGAGATGTTGGTGATGGCGTTCATAGTTGCTAGTGTTTATGAGTGAGGAAATGGAGAAAGAAAAGCTAACAGTGCCTCCTTTTCCGGCCGGCTTTTCACTTTGGAAGAGTTGGAGCGCAAAGAAGAAAGAGCGACAGACAATCTCTGCTGGTCAAGCACCCTCAAATTCAAAACAACCATTGACGTACACACTCTTGTACACACCTTATACACACCATGTTTGTGAAGCTTTTTTTTTGTTTGTGAACCGGATATTTTGTTTGTGCAAAACATTATCTGTGAATCGATGTTCACAGACAAAAAAAAAGCTTTCACAGACATAGGTGTGTACAAAAGTGTGTATAAGAGTGTGTACAAACATCGTTTTTGAATTCAAAATACAGAGTATATTCTCCTTCAAAACTTAGCAAAGTTTGATATGTAGTATTTACGAGATTAATAAAGTAAAAGTTGTGTATTTTATACTACCTCCGTCCCAAAATGAACTTCTCATTTCGGATTACGATGCTTGACCGACGATAAAGCAACTCGATCCCTGTTCATACTCAGATTACTTTTAGTAAATAAAATTTACATATTGAGAAACTACATTAAACCTCTACAAAGGCTGATTAAAAAAATATAAATTTCATAAAAATTTGATATATAAAACATAAGATTAAGAGTAATTTAAGTTGACCATGTGAATAGTGACTGTGAAGTTCATTTTGGGATGGAGGGAGTATTTACTTGGAAGATAAAGAATTAATTTGAATGATAAATTCTTTACTAAAAAGATAAAGTGATGAATTTAGTGAGACAACAAAAAAAGGAAATTTGAAAAAGTTTTAAGTGATATGGAGTACCCCTCTATTCCTTAAAAACTTTGTCAACTTTTCTTTTTCAATTCTTTCACTAACTTTGCTACTTTCCTTTTTAAGTAAAGAATTTGTGATTCCGGTTAATTCTCTCTCCTCTGCATAAAACCTCAATCACACAGTTTCTACTCTATTAATCCACATGTCGATCAAACCTGGTAAAGTTTCAAAGGACGGAGGGAGTGTTATACAATGTCTTAATATCCATCAAATTGTTGTGAAATGAAGAGGATGAAGATCAATTTTAAGAGATAGATATATAGATAAAAAGCTCTAAATTACTTCTTCTTAATATCTGAATAATTTCTGAATTTCTGAGTTTCTAAGTTAATTTACAAAGAATTGAATTAGCCCTATTTATACTAGCCAGATTTAGGGGATGAATCATCTAGGAATGATTCTACACAATTTGCTGGCAGTATTAGATCTACCCATCTGTCTAACTATGATTACAAGGATATAAATTAGATGAGTAAGCTTATTACAAGGATCAGAAGTAGCTTGGTGTCCTAATGACAAGGATGGACATTCACACTTGTCAATTTGGTGATTTTACAACACTCCCCCTTGAATGTTCATCCTTGAATACATATTTGTTATTTTAAAAATTTATTGTGAAAATTGTAAAAATTACGACTTATAATGTCGTTGTATTTGGATGTACTGTCTCGTTAAAAACCTTATCAGGAAAAACCCAGTGGGATAAAAACCTGATGAAGGGAAAAAGAGTGCAGTGCATTCAAATACTCCCCCTGAATTTAGTATAAATTATGAAGACGTCGCATGCCGATTTTCTGTACAAGTTCCATGAACTTCTTAGGGGGTAAAGATTTGGTGAAGAGATCGGCTGGATTTTCACTGGATCTGATTTGTTGAATGTTGATCGTCCCTTCTTTCTCGAGATCATGAGTAGAGAAGAACTTTGGTGATATGTGTTTTGTTCTGTCTCCTTTGATGTAGCCTTCTTTAATCTGAGCTATGCACGCAGTGTTGTCTTCGTAGATCACAGTAGGATGACAAGTAATAGACTTCATACCACATTCATTTTGGATGTGTTGAATCATAGATCGTAGCCACACACATTCTCTTCCGGTTTCATATAGTGCAATTAACTCAGAATGATTTGACGATGTAGCTGTCAATGTCTGCTTCATAGATCTCCATGAGATTGCGGTGTTACCATAAGTAAATACGTACCCGGTTTGTGATTTCGCCTTTTGAGGATCTGATAAGTATCCAGCGTCTGCATATCCGATTAAATCGGCTTTTTCATCTTTGTGGTAGAATAGGCCGAGATCAGTTGTACCGCGAAGATAACGGAATATGTGTTTGACCCCGTTCCAATGACGCCTTGTTGGACATGAGCTGTACCTAGCTAATAAATTTACAGAAAATGCAATATCTGGTCTAGTATTATTAGCTAAATACATTAAAGCTCCTATAGCACTCAGATATGGTACTTCTGGACCGAGTATTTCTTCGTCGTCTTCTTGGGGACGGAATGGATCATCATGTATGTTGAGAGATCGAATGACCATTGGTGAAGTCAAAGGATGAGCTTTGTCCATATAGAATCTCTTCAAAACTTTCTCGGTGTAATTGGATTGATAGATGAAAATTGCATTCTTCAAATGCTCAATTTGAAGTCCGAGACAAAATTTGGTTCTCCCGAGATCTTTCATTTCAAATTCTTTCATAAGATATTTTGCAGTATTTTCAATTTCATCGGGAGTTCCAATAATGTTTAAGTCATCAACATATACTGCAATTATGACGAATCGGATCATTCTTGTATCCTTCTTTGAGAAGATATTCACTGAGACGATTATACCACATTCGTCCAGATTGTTTTAGTCCATACAATGACTTTTGTAGTTTAATGGAAAACATTTCTCGTGGTATCGAGTTGTAAGTTTCAGGCATTTTAAACCCTCCGGGAACTTTCATATAAATGTCTGTATCGAGTGAACCGTATAAATATGCAGTCACTACATCCATTAGGCGCATTTGCAGCCTTTCAAAAACAGACATGCCAATGAGAAACCTTAATGTAGTTGCATCAACTACTGGAGAATAGGTTTCTTCATAATCAATTCCCGGCATTTGAGAAAACCCTTGGGCAACAAGTCGGGCTTTATATCTTACAATTTCATTTTTCTCATTGCGTTTACGCACAAATACCCATTTAAAGCCCACCGGTTTTACGCCTTTTGGCGTAGGGACTATCGGTCCAAAAACATCACGTTTTTCAAGTGATTTTAATTCAGCCTGAATAGCTTCATTCCATTTTGGCCAATCGTGTCGTTTCCGACATTCTTCTATTGATGTTGGCTCATTGTCATTGTTTTCATTCATAACATTTGTGGCAACGGCATAGAAAAATATCTCATTAATATCAATATCTTTACGATTCCATTGCATTCCAGTAGAAACGTAGTTTATTGAAATTTCATAATTATCAACGTTTCTATCATTATCTGGAATATCTTCCTCATTTAAGGAAGTTGGATCATCATTTGAGATATTCGTTTTGTCAATATCATTTTCTATGCCAATATTTTCAAATTGTTCATTTTCTTGTTCAGAAGGATGAACATCTTTGGCATCACAGATCGATTCCTGCCTTTTAGTTTTTCTTGGTTTTATATCTTTCGATCCAAGTGGCCTGCCACGCCTTTTGCGTATAGAAGAATCATTTGCAAAAGATTTTTCAGAATTCTCTGTTGGGATTTCGATTCTGGCAGGGGCATTCATGGCAGGAATATGTGACTTTGTCACTTTCTTTGTGTCTGTGAATGCATCAGGCAACTGATTTGCAACATTTTGTAAATGGATTATCTTTTGCACATCTTGCTCACATATATTTGATTTTGAGTCAAGATGTGATAATCCTGTTGCATTCCATGTTATTTCTTTCGTACTTGGGTCCGATTTATTAGTTTCTCCCCCTAAGGTTGGGAATACTGTCTCATTGAAATGACAGTCAGCGAACCGTGCGGTGAATAAGTCACCAGTCATCGGTTCAAGATATTTGATTATTGAGGGAGATTCAAATCCAACATAAATTCCCAACCTTCTTTGAGGACCCATTTTTGTACGATAAGGTGGAGCAATCGGAACATAAACAGCACAACCAAATATTTTAATGTGTGCTAAGTTTGGCTCTTGTCCAGTAACTAATTGCATTGGAGAATATTCATGATACGCAGTCGGTCTAAGCCGAATTAAATTTGTTGCATGTAAAATAGCATGTCCCCAAGCTGATGAAGGTAAATAACACTTCATTAATAATGGTCTAGCGATTAATTGTAATCGTTTAATCAAAGATTCAGCAAGACCATTTTGTGTATGGACATGAGCAACAGGATGCTCCACATCAATCCCAATCGACATACAATAGTCGTTAAATGATTGAGATGTAAATTCTCCTGCATTGTCAAGTCGGATTCTCTTTATAGAATGGTCCGGAAAATGAGCTCTTAATCGTATGATTTGAGCAAGGAGTTTAGCAAATGCTAAATTTCTAGTCGATAAAAGACTAACATGTGACCAACGTGTTGAAGCATCAATCAACACCATAAAATATCGAAATGGTCCACATGGTGGGGCTATCGGCCCACAAATATCTCCTTGAATCCTCTCTAAAAATGCAGGTGGTTCAGTTGCAATTTTGTTCATTGAAGGCCTGATGATCATTTTGCCAAGAGAACAGGCCTTACAAGGAAAATCACTTGATAATGGAACCCTGATATTCTTTAATGGGTGTCCAAGTGAGGTCTTAATGATTTTATGCATCATTACTTGGCCTGGGTGACCTAAACGGTCATGCCACAACATGAATGTTTTCTGATCATCCAACTTTGTGTTGGAAACCAAATTTATTTCAAACGGACTAATATATGTGGAATATAGTCCTGAGGAATATGCTGGCATTTTTTCACAAATATATTTAGTGCCAGATTTAGTTGTTGTAAGACAAATATATTCCTTTTGGTTTTCATTCACGGTTTCTATGTGATAACCATTTTGACGTATATCTTTAAAACTTAATAAATTCCTCCGTGATTTTCTGGAGTATAAAGCGTCATTTATAATTATTTTGGTCCCGTTAGGGAGCATCACATATGCTTTCCCAGAGCCTTCAATGAGCTTTGCAACACCTGATATTGTATTGACTTTAGCTTCAACTAAAGTCATTTGAGAAAAATATATTTTGTTTCTCAGAATGGTGTGCGTTGTGGCGCTGTCTATTAGACATAGCTCTTTATCATTTGAGTGATCCATATCTTCAATATGTGTAAATAAACATA